TCTCCAATCCCGACCGGTTCCTCCAACCATCATTTTCTTAGTGATCCCTTCTTTATTCCAGCTGTCTTCTCCCCTTTGCTCATGAGGCAGGCTTCCAGCTATGAGACTTCCTGTCCCATGTATCTACTATCTTTAGGTGTCAGTATCATGTTATGTTATTTTATACTCCACAAATGAATGCAGTTCTTCTATGTCTGTCCCTCTCTTTCTGACTGATTTCACTTAGCATGATACTCCATGTCTATCCATTTATAAGAAAATTTCATGACTTCATCTCTCCTAACAACTGGATAGTATCCCATTCCACATGTATTTTTAAAACCAACAAAGTATCTTCTCTATGTTTGGGGGCATTATATAATGGGACCAAAGCCTAATTAAGCAAGTTGTACCTGTCTGGAGGATGACTGTGTGCATTAGAAAAATGAAGATGAGTACAATTCCTTACTTGTTCCTATATGCGGATCAGGGAAACACTTGGACACTTATTATTAGTTTCTCATCTTATTCTCCATATCATAAAGCAAGGGAGGTATCCTCCTAATGCCCATGGCAAGATGCCATGTACTGAGGGAAAAGAGTTTGCATGTGGTTGACCTGAGCTTGATCCCTGGCAGCCCATATGAGCACTACTAAAGTAATTCCTGAGTGCAGTGCTAGAAAGCCCTGAGCACCTCTGGGTGTAGCCCCAAAATAAAACAAAACAAAACAGATTGATGCTGGAACACTCTATGTCTAAAACTCAACCACGTATGACTTTGAAATCACAGTGCTTTAATAAAATAAAATTTTAAAAAAATTTCTAGGCCTCAGTCCATTTCTGGTGCCTTCAGTCTGGGCTCCAGCCCTCACCAATCTGTTTTAACAACTCTTCCCAATAATAATGTTGCACACTACAGTTTGAGAAACACTGTTTTAAATGAAATAGGCAAGTCTGAATCAACATAATATCAATAGGCCACACCTGAGCTGCTAGCATACATATAAGCAGCTAGGCCCTGGGTTTAATCTGAGTTCTTAGTGGGCTCTCACTGAACATACTGGGGGGGTCCAGATTCAAAGGGGGAAAACAATTTAACAGAGTCTATTTGTGTTTCTCTTGATTATGTTTTTTTTGAATTATTAATGGCAAAATTAATAGGATTTCAAGCTAATTTCCCCACCTTGCTTAAATACATTCAGAATATGTCTTTAAAGATAGGCTAATTGGTCTCAGAATAGTTTAAAATACAAGAAACCAAATGTCAAAGATTATACTACTTCCTTTCATTAACACGTATGGAGAATTGCTAAGCAAGGAAAGGTCACAGTCATTTAAATCATCTAGTCAGCTCAACTCTTTTCTTTGTTTTATCATGTGAGTAGTTTGAAACTAATTTACAAAAACATGCATCATGATCAAAAGCGCTGGGCATTCAGGGTCCCTGCACAGTATCCTGTGAGTAGGGCCTCTCCCAGATACTTACCGGGGGTCTTTATTTGACTTTCAGTCAGACTAAAGCTTATTGTTTCCTGCCATGAGATCTTTTTATTTCACCTCCAAATTTTAATTCCATATTTTAAACTTTGATCTAGGAGCTGGAGTGATAGTACAGCAAGTAGAATGCTTGCTTTGTATGCAGTCAACCCAGGTTTGATCCCCAGCATCCCAGATGGCACCTCCAATCACTGCCAGTAGTAATTCCTCAGTGCAAAATCAGGATTAACCTCCGAGAATCTCCAGGTTTGATTTCAAAAGCCAAAACAAACAAGCACACACAAAAAAATGCCCTTGGTTTATTAACCTGACCCTGATTACTAATGACTTTCTTTGATGTTTTTAAACTTAGACTGCAATCTATGATACACACACACACACACACACACACACACACACACACACACACACACACCACTTAGTTGTGGTCCTCTGATGCACGGAAAACCAGAGGTCTGTTAGATGTTTTGGAGAGGGAGATTCCATAAATCCTCTGGAAATGGTTTTCATAGAGTATTTCTATCCATCATCGTAAACATAGTCATTATGCCCACTTTGTTCATTTACTCAGCAATGTTTACTCTAGTTGATTTTTGATTATGGGCTCATAGACATAACTTAATTCAACTTAAGTTATAAGGAAACACCTGCTGGGTACTGGAGAACATGCTAGTCGCTGCAGAGCACCTACACACTCAGGAATTATTATACAGTGTAACCTGCTCTCTCTTTCTCCCCAAGATTCCACATCCCTTTGCTCTCTTCATGCTAGTATTCTTGCTCTAGGACTGATTGTCTTCCTGTTTCTTCATGCCTCTGGACCTTTTATACTACAATGTTAAAAGAAGGAAAACCACTCAGTAGTCAGAAAATGAGCTCCTTCTAAGTTCACTCTTTAACACCTTGGTCTGTTTGGAAGTCTTAGCTACAAGAGCTTCCATTTAGGAACTGGAGCAACAGTACAACATAGGAAATTGCACGTGACAAACCAGATCTCTATCCCCTGTACCACATATGGTTCCCTGAACACTGCCAGGACTAATCCTGGAGCATAAAGCCAGGAGTAAACCCTGAGCACGCTGGGTGTGTCCCCAGAACCCAGCAAAAAAACAATGATGTCTGCATCTCAATCCAAGAAGCCTGTGAATATATTGTTTTACCAGAGGAAAAGGCATGATTAAGGATCTTGAGATCAAGAGCTTTTTCTTTTGGAGTTAGCCCAAAGAAATCACAAAGGCTCTTAGGAGAGACATAAAAGCCAGAGTAAGAGAAAGAACTGAAGATGAGTAGAGAGAGACATTTTACATTGCTGGTTCTGAGGATGAGGAGGATGTGGTGGGTGAAGAGCAGTCATCTCAGCTACATAGTATAGGACTGACTTCTCCCCTGGAGACTCCAGAAGCAATGGTAAATATTTCTGCCTGTTCAGAATTATAAGGTAAATAACATACATGGTTTTAACCCACTATGTTTGTGTTGATTGCTATAGCAATAACAGGAAACCAATTCTGGGAGTACACAGGTTGCTCACAATCTAGTCAGAGAGGTCAGATGACACAGAAAACTTTGATGTAATTCAGCAAGTATGAAACAAATATAAAAATGTCACAATACAAGGGAGCACCATGGCTGAAGAGACCAGTAGGGCCACCTGAGTGACAGTGCTATTGGACCCTGAAGGACTGAAGACAATGTTGAAAGGGGAAGATTCAGTAAGAAGAAAAGTTGGAAAATTAGGCTCACGTGACCAAGAAAATAAATTTTGTTCTGCTTTCTCAGAAACAATTTTTTTTTCTTTTGTGGTCATTTGCAGAGTCTCCTGCCCCCGCGCCTGGCTCTCCTCGCCGCCGGGGCCCCTTGGAAGGGGGCGGGTTGAGTTTCCCTCCCTGCCCCGACCAGAGCTCCAGCAGCCGAAGACCTCCAGAACCAGCCACAACCATGCTGAGACCACTCTCCACACACACGAAGGTATCGGCAGAGGAACAAAGGCATACGGGTCCCGGGGCCGAGATCTCCAAGCCTGCTTTGATTGGGGCTGAGCATCCTCCACCCAGATCTTCCATTTTCCAGTAGGCAGGGGTCACACCCACCAAATGGTCCCCAACGCCGTGTAATCCCATCAACGGCCAAGACACAGGGACTATAAAACCCAGCTTCCAGCGGCCGTGTGACATCTTATTATCTCATTCTTACTTTGGACAACCTGGCAGGCTACCGAATGTAACCTGCCCACACGACAGAGTCTGGCAAACTCCCCCATGGCATACCCAATATGCCAAATACCAGTAACAATGATGGGTCTCATTCTCTTAACCCTGAAAGAGCCTCAAATATGGCGCTTTTTAAAATTTCAGGGCTAGGACGAAGGAGACGTTACTGGGGCCTGCTCGAGGCAATCAACAAACAACAGGATGATCGTGATCGTGATCGTGGTCATACCCAGCAATGCTCAGGGGTTACTCCTGGCTTTGCACTCAGGAATTACTCTTGGCGGTGCTTGGGGGACCAAATGGGATGCCGGGGATCAAACCCGGGTCGGCCACATGCAAGGCAAATGCCCTACCCGCTGTGCTATCGCTCCGGCCCAGAAACAAAATTTCTGCGTGTTTGTGGAAGTTGGGGATGATCATCTGGGTTTGAGGCCACACCTGGGAGTGCTCATCATGGCTTATTCCAGGTTCAGTGCTCAGGGGATCATAGGTGCAGGGGATTTAAACTAGGCAAATGCCTTAATGCCTGACTATCTCTTTAGTCTGTCACTGTCACTGTCCACTATCACTGTCCTCCCGTTGTTCATCGATTTGCTCGAGTGGGCCCAGTAACGTCTCCATTGCGAGACTTGTTGTTACTGTGTTTGGCATACTGAATACTCTCGGTAGCTTGCCAGGCTCTCTGAGAGGGGCGGAGGAATCGAACCTGGCTTGGCCAGGCTGGCTGCATGCAAGGAAAACGCCCTACTGCTGTGCTATCACTCTTGGTTAAAATTTCATATATTATACTTGGAATATAGCAGACCTTTTTGCAAAAATAATAATAGTCAACAATTCTAACATGTGATGAACTATTCTAAGAGTTTAAATACACAACTACAGGTCTTGGGTAGGAATTCCTTCTCCAGATAGCCAAGGGTCAACCTTTCTCATCTTCAGACAGGCAGCATGATGGGGATAATCAGAAACATAAAGGTCAATAAAAACAAACAGCAGTTTCTTTAAAAGAATATGCTAATATTTATGAATAAGAAATCCTACCATAATTTCTAGTAATGGGCTGGAGCGATAGCACAGCGGGTAGGCGTTTGCCTTGCAAGCTGCCAACATGGCAGACCTGAGTTCGATTCCTCCGCCCCTCTCGGAGAGCCCGGCAAGCTACCAAGAGTATCTTGCCCACACAGCAAAGCCTGGCAAGCTACCCGTGATGCATTCGATATGCCAAACACAGTAACAATTGTCACAATGGGTCTGCTCAAGCAAATCGATGAATGACGGGAGAACAGTGACAGTGATTTCTAGTAATCAAACATTTATTTTATTTACTTGACTATTTCTTTTTGTGGGGAAGCCACATCCAGTGGTTCTCAGAAGCTACTCCTCGTACAGGGTTTTATCTTGTGGTCTTGGGGAATCATGTAGTGCTGTCACTGAACCCAGGGCTCCTACATGCAAAGCAAGTGCTTCATTCCTTTGAGCCATCTCCCCTGCTTTCAAGCAATCTAAACCAAGCAACAGAATCCAACTGAGCTACCTACCAATCTTACTCAGCCCCATGGAGGCTCTGAGGCCACTTACTGAAGATTATGGAGACATTAGATTCTTGTACCTTTGGAGGCAGATTTTGGTTGTTTTATTTCTCTGAAATCAGTAACATTAAGTATTTTCAATGGCACTATGAAACCTCAACTTTTGTTTATTTTGGGGGATACATCTGGAAGTGGTGCACAGGATTTATTCCTGGCAGGGCTGGGGAGGCAATGTGGGGTGCTGGGAATATAACCTGTCTTACCTTACTGTACTACCACTCCAGTCCCTGAAACCTAGGTTTGAGCATAAGACAATTACCCTGATAAAATGTTGTTTATAGCCATTCTGTTTTGGGAGTGGGGAAGGAAGAAATGGAATTATCCAGGCTTCCATACATACACCATGCTTGACTCCCTGGCCTTCCTTACAGAAACATGTCTTCTGATGATGATCCCTTCCCAAGATGAGGGTGTCTTGGGTGTCTGACCTATGATTATTTTAAATTGTCTGGTGAAATGTATTCCTGTTTGGACTGTTCACATTCACTCCAGGAAAAATCAGAGGAACAGCTAGTTTCTACTGGTCCAGTCCTGGAAGAATAACTTTGAGCTTCTGCAGAGGGTTGTGTATTCAAGATATTGACCCCAGAGTTCTGGGATGGAGCTGCATCCTTTGGCGACCAACCTCCTTCACAAGAAGAACGAGGCAAGTTATAAGCATCCACACTTCGCTGATTCTCTGTCTTTCTATCCAAGCCCAGATATGTAACCTCAGACTGGCTGCATTCAAAGGGAATTTTTGGAGCCATTCTTTTTTCTCTCAGATCCATATCACGAGGTGGTGAATCATTACTCTGGTTTTCATCATCTTCCACTGGAATACTTGGTACCGTGTCCAAGAATAGAGGAGAAGGGCACCGGAACGACTTTAGTGAGGTGGGAGGGTCTTCAGCAAAATATAAACTGGCTTGAGTACTTTCAAGAGTAGTTACGACCTAATTAACCAAGAAACAAACATTCAGTTGAACTGGAATAACATTTTCTTTTTCCTTTTTACTGTTGACCTTTTAAGACTTATTCTTGAATTTTTATCATATAAATTTAATGATAGAATTCTGTATTAGAAGAAAATATACAAGTTTATGAAGTATGAATGATACTGCATGAAGTATTAAGTATTTTAACATTAGGCCTATATGTTAAAATAGTTCCTATATTTGCCAGGAATTACTGTGATCTCAAGAAAATCTCTTTACATCTTTCCAATTCAAACTTTGCATGTGGAGGGTTCAGAGGAAGGGTAGACATGATCTGTAATTCTCAAAAGCCAGAATGACCTAGTGGTACTTTCTAAAAATCCAGATCTCGGGGCGGGGGCGGGGGCTGGAGAGATAGCACAGAGGGTAGGGCATTTGCCTTGCACACGGCTGATCCGGGTTCGATTCCCAGCATACCATATGGTCCCCTGAGCACCGCCAGGAGTAACTCCTGAGTGCAGAGCCAGGAGTAACCCCTGCCATCGCCAGTTGTGACCCAAAAAGCAAAAAAAAAAAAAAAAAAAAAAAACCCATAAAAATACAGATCTCTTAGCTCTAATCTAAAGACTGCTATTCAAAATGTATGGCAACCAGGCTAGACATCTGCATTTGAAAGGCTTCCCAACTGATTTCGATCTATAGTCTAAATAAATCAGACTCACAAAAGAATCTTGGAACCCGAGCAGAGATGCCTCTGGACCTTGTGTCAGGCCAATTTCATCCAGGTGCCTCAGATAGGAGCAGGTGTCGTCCCTCCACCTGCCCCCTTAGGAATTCAACAGCCATGAACTTCCAGAACCCAATGAAAAGCCCAGATATGCAGGACCAGTGACTGCAAACTCCAGGCGATGTGTTGGTCCTCCCCATCTCCCCATCCCTATGGGACTCTGGATGTCACATCCACGATCTGGCTTTGGCTGCCATTTAAGTGCATTAATGGCCATGATCCAGAAGCAGACAAATGAATCTCAAACTGAGCAGCTCGCTGCAGAGATTTCTCCTGACTCTAATTATCTAAAATTTTAGAATTACAGGAGATATAATATAGAGACCAGAGATATCTCATGCTACTCATAACAGGCAATACAAAATTAGTTATCTAGCATCTACTTTTTCAGCAGGCTTGAGTGGTAGTGGAAAAATTCAAAATAATGGTAGTGGGAAGGTGTAATGGTGGTGAGACTGGTGTTGAAATATTGAATATAATCCCATTATTGTGAACAACTTTATGAAAATTAAATTTTTTTAAGATAAATAAATAAATAAACCAAGACTCAAAACCAAAAACAGTATGAGCAAGCAGAGAGCTTGCCTTGCATGTGGCTGAACCATGTTATATCCCCAGCACTATATATGACCCCCTTCCTGAACACCACCAGGAATAATCTCTGAGTGCATAACCCTGTGTGACCCCAGAAGTAAGCTGACTAAGTACACCCTCCCCACAAAAAAATTTTTTTTAAATAAAAAGAACTCAGACTCACAGACGAATATAAAAATAACATAACCTACTATTTTGCACCCAGGTCATTAAAAGTACAGATAGGTTTATAATTTACAAAGTGCTTTCCTCCACACTACCCATTTGATTTACACAAACACTGTAATTCTATTTTCATTTTTTAGACCTACTTATGGTTTGAGGCCTCACCTGGCAGTGCTTAGGGTTACTCCTGGCTCTCTACCAGGAGACCATATGTGCTGCTAGGGATCAAACCAATGTTGGCTGCAAGGAAGGCAGGCACCTTAGTCCCTGTATTACCTCTTCTCCCCCCCACCCCATTCTCATTTCATAGAAAATAAAGAAGTGGCTTAGTAAAGAAAATATTGGGCCAGTAAGGAACAGACCTGCTGCTTGACTCCAGATCTGGCTCTCAATTCCATGCTCTCTCCAATCTGCTCCTCATTGCTCCTTCCTAGGACCATGATTCTAGGTCACACAGGTAACCTAGATGGGAAGTGTCAGCTAGAATCGAGCTCCCCTACATTCAGCCAATGCTTAGGGCTACTCCTGGTTCTGTGCTCAGGATCACTCCTGGTGATAGTTGGGGAACCGTATGTGGTACTGGGATCAAATCAGAGTGAGCCACATGCAAGATGCAAGGCAACTGCCTTAACTACTCCCTCTAGCTCCATCACAAATGCTCTTTCTGTCTATGTCATCTCCATGTTTAAAACTTTTCCAAATCTCTATGACATACTCAAGATAAATTCTAAATTTCTTGTATGGAATTCATGTCCCTAGATAATCTGGCCCCTTCTACTGCTGTAACTAGTCTACCTTCTTCCTCATTTGCTTCCAATTTTCATGATGCCAAACTACCGCAGTCTTAGCACCAATTCATCACCACAGAGATTTTGTATGTGTAGATTCTCTCTAGATTGTCGTTTTGTCCTTCTAGATATTTAACCCAATCTCTTCTTCAGCTCACAGCTCAGCTGTCATTACCAACATAAAGCTCCCCTGAGTTTGTTGGACTGGTATGTATCCGACTTTATACTTCCTTAGCATCTGGGCTCCCAGCTACCATTAAGCTTGTCTTTGTGCACAGGAATTACATATTTGCTGTTTCTAAGTTCCCTCTGAACTGTGAGCTAGAAGACAGTAGCTATTTTAACCATTTTGAAACCCCAGTATGCAGCACAAAGTCTGACACATGAGAAGTGGAAAGTGGAAACAAATATTTGTTCAATAAATAAAGGGAAAAAACGAGTGAATGGCTAAATCATTGGGCAATGAGTGATCTAAAAAATAAGGAAAACAGAGTCTGCATATGTAGTGGATCATATTTTTTGTTAAGTAAAATAGACTCTCAGGACCAAGGAGATAGCACAGGGGTGAGTGTTATGTCTGAGTGGAACCCCTCTTCAATCCATGGAGCCACTCAGCCCCCTGAGAACTGCCAGGTTTATCTCCAAAGTCATCCAGCACTCCCTGGGACCACAGGGCCCATGCAGTTCTGAGGCGTGGGCATTGAACTGTAAGCACAGTTGGCTGAGCAACACAGGTAGTGGCAACTGGGCTCCTTGAATCCAGTAAAACACACATTTATCCATCTTAGGTTTTTCCATGGTTCTTTGTAGTAAGTTTTTTAAAAAAAAACATGTGTATAGAAAGATTGCATTCATCTGGGGGATATAAAGTAACAAAGTATGAGATTAATACCCAAGAATAGCTGAGATCAGCACCAGGAGGATTACTCCATAACTTAGAGGCCAGCCGGGTATCCTAGAGGAAAGGGCAGCTCAGATAGAGAAGGGAGCACCAAATAAAGGATGTTTGGAGGATCCTCCCAGGAGGGGAGATGCATGTCGAAAGTAGACTATGGACTGAACATGTTTGCCACTCAATGCCTCTTTTGCAGACCACAACACCCAAAAGGAGAGAGAGAACACAGGGGATTGCCCTGCCACAGAGGCAGGGGGGGATGGGGGGATGGGGGTGGGAGGGATATTATCCATGGTGGTGAAAAACGGGCACTGGTGGAGGGATGGGTATCTGATCATTGTATAATTGAAACCAAAGCACAAAAAATTGTAAATCTACAACTTTAAAAAAAAATAAAATAAAATAAAGGGAAAAAAAACATGTGTATACTCACTTCATCCATAGATGGCCTCAGTTTTGCTCGTGTTGCAGCACACGAACCTGCCAACAAGAACAGTTTGACAGAGAAATTTTGAGGACAAGGAGGCACTTTCTTATCCAGAAATGAGAGACATGATTCAAGGCCTCTCTTCTCCATCAATTCCATAAGGAGATCCCTCTAGGAAAAGAAGATGACAACTTGATCATTAAAATTTCTAGCAGAAAAATGATCAACAGAGAATCAGTGAAGACAATTCTTACCAGCCGGATATGCTTAGGCTCATCCAATACCACCTTACAACCTGTCAAAACTTCCATTATCACCTACAGGAAAATGGAGACAGTTAGCTACTTACGTTAAACGTACACACAGTGTTGTGACTGTTAACACTAACAATGAGTATAATTTATTCCAGTTAATGATTCAACATTTTACCACTGTATGAAAAAAATCAACATAGGTGATAATAAGTTATAGAAAACCAAAGGTCAAAATGCCTTTTAAAAATTCTTATGGGGCTGGAGTGATAGCACAGTGGGTAGGACGTTTGCCTTCCATGCAGCCGACCTGGGTTCGGCCCAGGTTCGATTCCCAGCATCACATATGGTCGCCCGAGCACCGCCAGGGGTCATTCCTGAGTGCAGAGCTAGGAGAACCCTTGTGCATTGCCAGGTGTGACCCAAAAAAGCAAAAAAAAAAAAAAATTCTAATAATTTAAAAGCATTCTTAGCAGTAAACTATCTTGTTAGTGAATACCAGTTAGTGAATATTTGAATTGTTGGTACTTACAATTCCAAAGCTATAAACGTCTGTTTTAACAGAAAATTTGCCTTGTCTGATATATTCCTCTGGCAGGTACCACAGATGTTTATTACTGCTGCTTGCCATGCTTATGGTGGAACTCTGGTGTTCCAAGTGGGGTCGGAAATGCGCCATTGCAAAATCAGTTAGTTTGGGTCGAAACTGATCATCCAAAAGTATGTTCGCACTAAAATTGTAATAAAGGACAAACAGAAAAAAAAAACTTTATCAAGGCATTTCATTAAAAACCAATATGACAATATCACCTCCATGTCTGGTTAAACCCAAAAACTGACAAAATAAAGTCACATTCAATTTTCCATGAGCATTTAAAAATTTTCTTAAACATAAATATGGGTGTTGCATAAAAAATTTTAAAAATTTATCTAAAAAAAGTAAAAATAACAGATGGTAAAGCATTGGACTAAAAAAATCTTGACATAGTACTTCCTACCAGAGACACTAAGCTGAGAACTTTTTTCACATCATATATCCAAAAGGAAGTTAGTATCTAAAATACATAATGCATACATATACCTCAACACAATAAAAATAATCCAATAAGAAAAATGAACAAAAGATGTGAATAGACATGTTCCCGAAGAAAACATACAGGCAACCAATACACATGTGAAAACATATTTAACATCATTTACAATGTGGGAAATGTAAATCAAAATCATAATGAGATATCACCTCATACTTTTGAGAATGACCTATGTCGAAAGCATTGGAAACAAATGCTGGTAAGAGATTGGAGATAAAGGAATTCTTATGCTCTAGTGATGGGAATACAAATTAGTGAAGTCTCTATGGAACATAGTGTGTAGATTTCTTTAAAGACTAAAATAGAAATACCATATGACCCAGACATACCACTTTTGGATATTTACCCAAGAAATAGAGAAACAGGGATCAGGGAAATAGCTCAAAGGGCATATGTGAAAGGCCTGGAGTTAATTCATGGCACCACATGCCCCCCAAAGAGGTCCTAGGAGCCCCAAGAATTGAGATGAGGGTAACCCCTGAATACTTCTGGGGGTGCTTGATCAAACAAAATCTGGAAAATTAATTTGAAATGTATTTTATTTATATTAATAAATTAATTTGTATTTCTATGTCAAGACATGGAAGCAACTTAAATTACCAGTGATAAATGCTTGGATGAAGAAGCAGTGGCCAATGCAATGCTACTCAAGTATTAAAAAGATAACGTCAAGAGCCAGGGATGTAGCTCAAAGTGATGTAGAGCATGCCTAGCAAAAAAAAAACAACCCAGGTTTGAACCCAGGAACCTCATAGTCCCCTGAGCTCTGTCCCCCGGCACCAGGAACAGCACCACACCTCTGGGTCTGAGAACCAAACCTTTAGGCTCACACAAGCGAGTCCTCAGGCAAGTATTGCCAGGAGTGACCTAGGGATCTTTAAGCAGTGCTTGGAAAATAGCCCTGAAAAGATGAAATTATGCTTTTTTGTGACAACCTGGATGAAACTGGAGGTGCCTTATTATTATTTTTTATTGAATCACTGTAAATTATAGTAAGTTATTTATGATTGAGTTTCAGGGGTAGAAGTTTTAACACCAATCCCTTTACCAGTGTCCACTTCTCTCCACTAGTTTCTCCAGTTTCCCTCCTACCCTCCAGCCTTCCTCCATAGTGGACACTTTTTTCTTTATCTTTTTTGCAGCCACCTCCATTTAGACACCATGACTACAATACTGTTACTGACCAGGCTTTATGCAAGGCATTTTATTTCCTTCCAGCATCTAGTCCTGGTCCAGAGGGAGCACTTCCTTCTTCATTGTCATAGTGGTCCCTGACCCACCTCTCTCCCTATGCCACAATAGCAAGGTTCCTACTAAGAACCAGTTCTCCTGCTTTTCATTTTGGTTTTCTTAGCACTTTTTATTTAGAACCCTACTATATATATATATATATATATATATATATATATTTTTTTTTTTTTATATATCCCACAAATGAGTGGAATCAGAATAAGAAAATTTTAACCTGGGGCTTGCCTTGCACATGGCTGACCCAGGTTTGATTCTTGGCACACTTAGGGTCCCTCAGTGCTTCTAGGAGTGATCCCTGAGTGCAGAGTCAGGAGTAAGCCCTATACACCACCAGGTGTGGTCCACAAACAAAAAGCAAACATTTAAAAAAAGAAAGGAGAAAAATAATAAACTCATAATCATGGAGAGATAATGGATCAAAGTTCCAGAAGTTCTTGTTGTCTCAGTACAGACAGAACCTTGTTTCGCAGACCTGAACTGCAGGTGTTATTAATAATAAAATGCATTATGATTTCTAATTTATTGAGATTTGAAGCTCAGATTTTAAGAACTCTTGTTCTGACTTGATTTAGAATCAAACTGAAGGACATACAGAAGAGAATTTCTTGGAGGATAGAGAAGGATGTGTTCTAAACTTTCATTTCAATCTCCTTTCTCTAAAGATGGGCAAAGAACAACAAAACCCAAAGAGCCCAATTTATTTTTAAGCCCAAGGGTGCTGACTGACCTGTTGGGAGCTGACTGCACTTTATGAGAAAGTCACAGAATCTGGCTGGCAGACATGTGGTGATCAGCACAGACCTTACTGTTCTTTCCCTGTCATTTCTCCTCAGATACTTCAAATCTAAGGCCAGCCTGGGTCTCACCAGCAACACTGAATCACTCCTCACCCACTGCTCCCTTTTCTCATTTGGAAAACAGTGCTGACCATATGACTTACTCTAGAAAAGGAGGAGCACATGAGAACCAGAGTCAACACTAGTCAAAGAGAGACTTGTCTTGGTACACAAGGACCCCCACAGGGGGCTAAATTACTTGTTTAGATCAAGTTAGGGCTTTGTGAGATGTCCTGGTCACTTGTGAATGTTGGGATGCTTTATTGCAGGAGTTTCCTAGGTGTGCCAAGAGGAAAAGTGCATTCACTCTTCTGACCACGACACACACTTCTGGCCCTCCAGCTTCTGTATCCCTGAGACCCAAATCTCCTCCGCACACCATGCCATTCAGCATCAGAGAACTGAAGTCTCTGAATGCCAGATTTCCTTCCTTCCTTCCTTCCTTCCTTCCTTCCTTCCTTCCTTCCTTCCTTCCTTCCTTCCTTCCATCCATCCATCCTCCCTTCTTTCCTTCCTCCTTCTCTTCCTTTCTTTTTGTTTTTTTGGGCCACACCTAGCAGTGCTCAGGGCTTACTCCTGACTCTGTGCTCAGGAACTACTCCGGGTGAGGATCAGGGGATCATATGGGGTGTCACGGATTGAATTCAGGATAGCTGTGTCCATCGCAAACACCCTACCTGCGGTACTATCGCTCCAGTCTCTGAATACCAAAATTTCCATGTCAAACCTCTAGTTTCTCTTTCCCTCCACAGATGGTATCTTGAAACATCAGAGAAAGCAACAAGCTGAATTTATGATATACTCAGAATCATTCCCTGCAGACGGAGTACATGCTATGTATAAAGGGGGTGTGTAGCCAAAAAAACCATAATCTTAGCTAGGAATTCTTCCCATTTTTTCCACTCATGACAACTTTTCACTGAGAAAGGCAACAAAGTGCCAGAAGCACCTTGGATTCATTGTGACTGATTTCAAAGGATGTGTTGGTCATTGTGCATTCAAAAACCTTTTACTATTGCTAATTTTTTCACTGTGCTCACCTTAAGCTACATGACCCTGTAGGGAATTGCAACCCATAGTTTAAGAAGCTTGGATCTAATCCATTTATTTGTGCTTCTGCAAAACGAGGAAGTTCCCGGCAATGGGCTGAATCATGCTGCTGTACGAGTCAGGCAGAGGTGAGGTGGGTAACCGCAGCACATTTCTCAATAAAACCCACAGGGGCCGTGAGGTCAGTGAGGGGCCATCCATAAGAATGTGAAATTATTCCAGGGCTCTCAGTTCCACTTTGAATAATGACATTTAGTGAAATGACAAGTTGTTTACCAGCAGACTCCAGTGTATAACATAAATTTTGAGTCCAGTGATTTACTCTGTTCTAAATAAAGGTTAATGGTAGTGGAGGAAGAAGGATGTTCTGTTTGAGAAACATGGGGATTGCAAAATCCCTTCAACAACCAATTCTACTCTAATTCTGTCTGTTGCCTCCACCTTTCCTAGAACATTCAAATATCACCTTCAGTTACTATATGAGCCAATATAAAAGGGTGCTCTGTAGAGTAAAAATGGACTAAAGACAAAAAAGACAATATAATATCACAAGATCCTAGAATTATATAATGTACTAATATGGCAACCTGCTAATTTTTGTGGTTACAAAAGAGAAAATGTAATTTTGTAAAATGTTTTTACAAAAACATTCAACAACAACAAAACAGACAAACAAACAAACAAAAACATTCAACAGAAGGTGTGGCCCTGACTATTTCTTGTCTCTTTTTTCTTTTTCTATTTCTTCTGCTCTTTCCATGAAGTTATTTTCCGCATGTCAGAGGTCATAACCTCTCTAGATAATTCAGGTAGAAGGACCATTGGTACGTGAAGAAGATGGCGGGGGGCGGGGGGAATTCTACATAAGGTAGTGAATATATATCCCTATTTGGGAAGTGTTATTTAATATTTCTATTGCAAGGGTATCTCTTAAATTTGGGGACCCGAGCTTACCCCTCAAAGGCTGAAATATTGCTTTATTTGCTCATCTGTGATTCCTAATTTAGTTAAAGCCCTTATATCTTAACGTAAAGCAAGAGAATATACCTAGATTATAATGCAGGGTTTGAATTTAAGTCTAACATAGAAGGACATGATTTATTTTTAAAACCATTTTTAAAGCTATTTATAAAGGGGTTTGAAGGGAGCTATTGGGGTCCAGGAGCCCAAGACCTGAATGCTGGGCAACTCTTAGGAAAAGCCAGATTCTACCCAATTGCTTACTGAGATTAAGATCCAATTGGCCACTATGTACATTTGAAACAATGGGACAGCTGGCTGTCCATGTTACTTCTGTTGTAACAAAAATCCCACCTGCACCAAAAGTCATGACTGTTTTCAGCAGATAAGACTCAGTTTCTCTTGGAACCTGCTGATTCTTGGAAAAGAGCACACATACAGCCTCCCTCACTTGAGCATGCTGCGTATGTGGCCTGAAATGTGAAGCTTAGGCTTGCATTATGAACTCTCACTTCCTTCCCATTGATCCCAGCAGGATTCAGA